ATTTAAATCACTGAAGGTTCAAGTAACTCAGACTCACATGAAGGCTTCAAAGTAACTGCAGACTCACTTGAAGGCTTCAAAGTAACTACAGACTCACATGAAGGCTTCAAAGTAACTACAGACTCATCTGAGAGCTTCAAAGTAACTACAGACTCACATGAAGGCTTCAAAGTAACTACAGACTCACATGAAGGCTTCAAAGTAACTACAGACTCACCTGTAAAGAAGCACAAGTCTCTCTCCACAACCTCTCACTACAAGAGAGACAAGAGAAAAGCCAGAGAGTTCTCCCTGAGCTCTCTCGGGGCCCAGGAGCTAGAGCCTGGCTGGGAGAGAGCTCTCTCCTCCTCTTCCAAGTGGAAGAGAAAAAGAAAGAGGAGAAAGAGGAGACGGAAAGGCCATTTAAGCAGACATAGAATTCGACACAAGAAGAGAAGACTGGAGAAGGAGTATGGCCAGGCCTCCGGGACGGCCTATCCCCTGAGGGATAGAAGGATCCTGAAGCCCTACTATCCTGGAGTCTATCCCCAGAGCCCCGGAACCCCGGATAGTCTCCTATCCTTGCTAACTGTTCCTACGGATAATCCACTAGTACCTACCACAACAGACCAGGACGTCTGGACGTCTGGACGTCCACTATCTCCCCATCCTGATAGTAGAGGCCATGCTGGGCTCTCCGTAGCATCCCTAGCCACGACCATTCCCATCACAAGCTTCCTTAGTCTTGGGAATAAGGGAACAACAGCGCCTATCTCAGGATATCAGTCCACCCCAGACTCCAGCTCTCATTGGGACGAAAAGGATAGGGATAGGGGCTTGGGATTGGTGGTGGAGAAGGACCTAAGGCCTGGAAATGGACATGAGGGATGGCAGGACCAAAGGGACTCCAGGGACGGCGATAGACGTCAAAAATTGGAGCATCAGAGGGTCCCTTCAGCGCCCCTCTTGCTAACAGTCCCATCCGAGAGCACAAAGGCGTCCTTAGGGACGTCCCTGGATGGCTTGCGTTCCAACTGGGACCCAAAAGAGGACATTGCTGACCTTCTGAAGGAGGGGCTGACGTCCCAGCTCACCAGCGTCACCGGGAACGTCAGCAGGGGCGCCTCTATGGCTAGGACGTCAGATCATGACCCCAAAAGCGGCCCTACCTCCCTGACTGATGGGTTGGGTGCTAGCTCCTGGCCCTCTCCAGGGACCCCAGGTGGCCCCTACGGCAGTGACAGGGACAATGACACCTCTAGCAGCAGTGACAGTACCTACTACAACAGTGGCACCTTCAGCAGTGATAACAGCAGTGGTACTACCAGCAACGACAGTGACAGTGCCTCCCACAGCAGTGACAGTGCCTACTACAACAGTGACATGAGCAGTGTCACTTTCAGTAGTGCCTCCTACAGCAGCAGTGTCACTTTCAGCAGTGATACCCCCAGCAACGACAGTGACAGTACCTACTACAGCAGTACCACCTCCAGCAGTGACAGTGCCTATTACAACAGTGACAGCAACAGTGATAGCCCCAGTAGTGCCAGCAGCAGTGCCTACTACAGCAGTGAGAGCAGCAGTATCACCCGCAGCAGCGAGAGTAACAGTGCCTCCTACAGCAGTGAGAACAGCATTACCACCCACAGCAACAACAGTGACAGTGCCTCCTACAGCAGTGAGAGCTGCAGTACCACCTCCAACAGTGTCAGTACTTCCAGCAGCACCTCCAGCAGTGACAGTGCTTACTACAGTAGTGACAGAAGCAGTGAAAGTACCTCCAGCAGTGCCTACTACGGTAGTGACAGGAGCAGTGGCACCTCCAGCAGTGCCACCAGCTCCATCAATACCTCCATTAGTGACAGTACTTCTAGCAACACCTCCAGAAGCAGTAACAGTACCTCCAGTAATGCCAGTACTTCCGGCAACACCTCCAGCAGTGTCACCAGCTCCAGCAACACAACTAGCAGTGCCAGCAGCATTGACATTATCTCCAGCAGTGAGAGTACTTCTAGCAACACCTCCAACGGTGACAGTACCTACTCCAGCAGTGCCATTACCTCCAGCAGTGACAATACCTCTTCCAGCAGTGACAGGTGCAGTGAGAGTACCTCCAGCAGTGACAGGAGCAGTGAGAGTATCTCCAGCAGTGACAAGAGCAGTGACAGTACCTACTCCAACAGTGCCACCAATAGTGCCAGTGATTCCAGAAGCAGTGCCATCACCTCCAGCAGTGCTTCCAGCAGTGCCACCTCCCCACCTACCACCTGCTACACCACTAACGACCTGGTAGTGGTCGTCTTGCTGACCACGCTGGCCAACCTGGTGACCTTCATGGTTGTGACCCTGGCACTATGCTGGTGGACACTCAGAGGTCGTCTCTCTACGACCTCACGACCTCTTAACCACCCTGACTACCACCTCAACGACGACCCCAACGACGAGGCTGAGGAAGTAGTGTAAGTTCCTAAAACAACCTTTTCTGAAAAGTTGCAAGCTCCTGATGAAATCTCCATTGCACTGCGAAAGGCCTAGATCCAATTTATACAACCCTGAACTAATATTACTATAATTGAATCTATATCTCTGTGGATAAATATATCTATGTCTTCCTGGAAACCTCTTGGTAACTCCTCCCCTCCTACCCCAGGGCTTCCAAGACTTTCTGGAAACTTTCTTAACCTCTTGGTAACACCTCTCCTCCTCCCACAGGGCTGCCGAGGGCTGCCTGGAAGCCTGCCTGCCGGACATCTCCTACCAGAGACACATCGCCAGAGGGTCAAACTTGAGACCCTCTTTCGTAGTTTGGTCGCGCCTTGCGGCCCCTGGTCCACCCCAACCCACCCCGCCTCTCCCAGGCAGTCCATGAGCTTTTGCACAACCTCACCACCCCTGCCGAGGAGGCACAGCCCGAGGGCAGCGAGGGGGAGCGGCAGGAGGAGCAGCAGAAAACGATAAAAAGGAGAAAAAGGAAAAACTGTGGACTGTACCTCAAAAGGAGATCCCTTTCTCTTGAAGACTTGGCGCAGATTTGACATGGTTTCCCCGTTTGTACCATTGCTCCCGTTTTGACTTCCGTTTCCCATTGCCCCGTTGTGGTAGGGTATTTTCCAAAAGGTGGCTCTCTCCTGTCTTCCTTCTCTCCCTGTTTATCGGCCTATATTCATCTCATACCGAAGCTTCTGGTAGTTTCTTGGTCCTGTGGCTCCCTGTTCTTCCCTCTCTTCCACCTCCCTATTCGTTGATGTGTTGCGCTTTCTCTGCATCTTCTTCCCTTCATTCTATTCCCTCCTGTGTCTTTCCATCCTTCTCTCTGCCTCCTGTCTATTCCTTCTATCCTTCTGGTTCCTCCAATAGCCACAAATATTGTATTTCCCCAATTCGTGATTATTCTTCAAGTTCTCCGTTTTACTCCAGTGAAAAAATGAAAGAAAGTTGTTTAGAATTTAGATCAAAATCGCTTTGAATTTGATGTAATTTGAAAGGATAGACATATATTAGACATAATAGACATATCATAGACATATCATAGACACAATAGACTTATAATAGAGAAGAATAGACATATCATAGACACGATAGACATATCATAGACACAATAGACATATCATAGACACGATAGACATATCATAGACACAATAGACATATCACAGACAAGAATAGACATATAGACACGATAAACACAGACATAAAGCTCTAAATCAGTAAGGGCCCACACAAACGAGGGTCACTGTACGCCGGTTAATCAGACAGTCTGGTTAATATGAATTTTGAGCTCCCAAAGTGCTCGTTTTTACACGAATGTTTTTTTCGACACGAAATTTTGATTTACACATTTTTTTTTATTTACACAAATTTTCGATTTACACAAAATTTTGATTTACACAGAATTTTGATTTACAAAAAAAAAATTGATTTACACAGAATTTCAGAGAGTGGAGCTGGTTAATAAGCTGTGGTTGACTGAGTGGTACAGTGACCTCTGGATACTGGGGTCACATGTCTCTATAAGCTCCAGCTGATTTTGTCAGCTTAAAGCTTACTAAGCTTTAAGCTGAAGTGACTTAATTAAGCTTAATGAGCTTTAAGCTGAAGTGTTTCACAGCTTAATAAGCTTCGAGCCGAAGTGTCTTAAAGCTTAATAAGCTTCAAGCCGAAGTGTCTTAAAGCTTAATGAGCTTTAATCTGAAGTGTTTCACAGCTTAATAAGCTTTAAGCTGAAGTGTTTCAGCTGACTTCATAACTTAAAGCTTAAGAAAGTGTTTGTTAATAAGCTTAAAGCTGAAGCTGTCAAAACTTGTCTAGATTTTAATGTCTTAGAGTGTAAAAAGAGGTTTTTATTGGCCTTTGGCCTATACTGGGATATATTAGGCCTATGCTGGGATAAATTAGGCCTATGCTGGTATAAATGTGATGAATCATGAGTTACGTGGCAATATAAAACAACATAAACACTTAAAAAAAACATAAAACATCATAAAACAATATAAAACGCTATAAAACACCACAAACATAAAAATAAAACACCATCAAACATAAAACACAATAAAGCACAATAAAAACACCGAAAACTTCATAATAAGATCATAAAAACACATTATCAGTTATGTGGCGCCATAATGGCGCAGTTTTTAGCAACAACGTCGCTGATTGGTTGAAACCCGCGGGAAAGTAAGTAAACAAAGCCGCTCATTGGTCAGAAGAACCGCGGGAAATCTTCACTGCCTCTCATTGGCTAAAAAGAGCGGGAAAAATAAGTAAACAAGCCCTGTAATTGGTCGATTACTTTCACTAACCAAAAATAACAAAAATAATCATAATCGGCACCAGAAAATTTACTAAGTTAGTTTAGGATAACACAAGCAATGTTAGTTATGCAAGAAATAGGCCTATTTAGGCCAAAATAGGCCTATTTCTCCATAGTTTAATCCGATAAACATTCCCGACCTCTAGCCAGTAGGCCTATAAAAATAAGATAATTTCTCGGCAATTAGTTGAGTGTAGGCCTTCTTGCAGGTCATGATAACATTTCTAACATAGATAACTAGCAGTTAGTTATCCCTTAAGATAACTGTAAATTAGTTATCCCTTAAGATAACTGTAAATTAGTTATCCCTTAAAATAACTTAAAAAAATAGTCATCCTTGAAATTTAATGTAAAAAAGTTACCCCTTAAAAATAACTGTAAAAAACTAGTTACCCCTTAAAATTTACTGTAAGTTAGTTATCCTTTTAAGATAACTGTAAAAATTAGTTATAATCGTAAGATAACTGCGAATTAGTTACCCTTTAAAATAAATGTAAATTAGTTATCCCTTAAAATTATTGTAAAAATTACTGTAAAAAATAGTTATCCCTTAAAAATTACTGTAAAAAATAGTTATCCCTTAAAAATTACTGTAAAAAATAGTTATCCCTTAAAAATACTGTAAAAAAATATTAGTTATCGCTTAAAATAACTAGAAAAATAAGTTATAAGTTGTGTAAATAGTATAGGCTTAGAGGCACAGGGGAATTTTTTCCCAGGCCTATTGCTTTGTGATTTTTAGTATAAAACTGTCACTAACGAATGCATAGACCTAGGCAAAATAGGCCTAAATTTAAGAATATTTATATCTTAACTTACTAAACAATGCATAGGCCCAGGCAAAATAGGCCTAAGTTAATGAATATTTATACTTCGCCTAAATTTACAAATGTTTATGCAGTGCAAAAATGACTAATGAATGGATAGGACCTAGACAAAATAGGCCTAAATAAAAATACTTGCTACACTGAAACACGAGGTTTTCACATAGGCCTATTTTTTCTTAAAATTTCATTGAGTGCCAAAGCCCAAGTATATATAGATTTTTTTCATTTAATTGCATGGGCCTATGCATTCGTTTTTTAAATTCATATAGGCCTATTAAATTCAAAGCATTATAGGCCTATTAAAATTAATTTAAAGTTAAATAGGCCTATTAAAACTAATTTCAAAATTATATAGGCCTATTAAAATTAATTTTAAAGTTAAATAGGCCTATTAAAACTAATTTCAAAATTATATAAACCTATTAAAATTAATTTTATTACTCATATAGGACAATTATAATTAATTTTAAAGTCTATATAGGCCTATTAAAATTAATTCAACTTTGTTTACGTAGACAATAAGGACAATTTTTACATCTGGCAGCAGCTAGTAGGCCTACTAGCTTGCTAGTAGGCCTATTAATCTGCTTGTAGGGCTACTAGCCTGATAGTAAGCCTGCTTGTGTGCCTTCTAGTAGGCATGATGGTAGGCCTATGAAAGGCTAGTAGGCCCACAAGCCTGCTTGTAGGCCTACTTTCCTCAGGTCAAAAAACGAAATTAGTAAACATCAAAAAACTTGTCTTAGGCCTAAGACCAGCTGTGACCAGTTGTGACCAGCTGGACACAGCTGGTCACAACTGGCCACAGTTGGTCACACTTTTACAACTGGTCACAGTTGGTCATTGCTGGTCACAGCTGGTCACAACTGGTCACAGTTGGTCACTACTGGTCACACTTGGTCACAACTGGTCACTGCTGATTACAGTTGGTCACAACTGGTCATTGCTGGTCACAGTTGGTCACAACTGGTCATTGCTGGTCACAGTTGGTTACAACTGGTCACGGCTGGTCACAATTGGTCATAGCTGGTTACTGCTGGTCACAGTTGGTCACAGCTGGTCACTGCTGGTCACAGTTGGTCACAGCTGGTCACAGTTGGTCACAGCTGGTCACTGCTGGCCACAGTTGGTCACAACTGGTCACAGCTGGTCACAGTTGGTCACAGATAGTCATAGTTGTCATTGCTGGTCACAGTTGGTCACAGCTGGTGTATATTCTGCAATAAATCAATACAGGGTTAAGCCAGTGGCTTTTTTTCTCTTCAAAAAACCCGGAGGGGTTTTTACCTCCCCTGGGGTGGTTTTTAAACCACCCAGGTCGGTTTAACTTCCCGTGGAGAGGTTTTTAAACCATCCAGGTTGGTTTATAAAACACCCAGGTGGGTTTACCTTCCATTACGGAGGTATTAAACCATCCAGATAGGTTTAGCATCCACTGGGGTGCTATTTAAACCACCCGTGAGGGTTTGACTTCCAACAGGGAGGTTTATAAACCACCCAGATGGGTTTGATTTCCTTTCGGGAGGTTTATTAACCACCCAGAAGGGTTTATCTACCATTGAAGAGGTTTATTAACCACCCACGAGGATTTATCTAAAACGGGGGAGGTTTAACATGTGTCAAAACCACCATAAAAAACCACAGACAATATTTTTGTATAAAATAAATAAAACCAGTGAAGTGTTTTAACGGTTTTTTCCTTCAATAAAACCTGCTAGGTTAATTTGTGAGGCGATAAAAAAACCCCCCCAATTTCTCTGGCACCGACCCCCTCTAAATAAAAAATAATAATAATAATAATAATAAAATAATAAATAAAATAAAAAAAAATAAAAAAATATAAATACAAAACCCCAATATAAAAAAACAGAAGAAGGGGTCACTAACCGGACCAAAAAAAAACGTTACTCGTCAACCCTAACCAGCCTGATAAGAAGGGCAAAAAATTGTTTTATGAAAACAATTATCCAACTTAGAGGGATAAAAAAAAGACTGGAAGACCCTATCAAAAATTCTAGGAACAAAAAAGATACCGAAATAGTAAAAAAATTGCAAAATCAATCCCCCCAACTCCCCCCCAACAAAACAGAAAACAGACTAAATGTTTCTTCCCAAATATAGGACAAAACCTTGCCAAAAAAATCCCAAGCTAATACCCCCCAAATGACTACCTCACCGGAAACTCCCCCGAACACCTTTTCCTAGCTCCACTAAACCCATCGAAGTCCCCCTTATTTTTAAAACGCACAAAAAAAAAGGGCGGAGATTTAGTACCTTACCACCCTTTAATACAAAAAAGGTACAAGGGGCTATCCCCAATCTTTGCAACCACTCTTTAACAAATCCTGAACCCTCCCCCTTCCCTCAGTACTAAAAATGAAAGGGTCCCCCATCCCAAAGGAGGGGGGGACCAAAAGATTAATAACATGGGCCAAATTTTCCAATTTACACCCCTCTCAAAAATTTAAAAAAATTTAAATTCAAAAACGAATCACCCTCCCTTTATCCCCAAAAAACATATCAACCCCTCCAATTTGGATTCACCCTAATAAAAAACTAAATGTAATACACATGTAGACTTTATACCGCAATAGAAAAAAAAGAAGCCCCAAATGGGGATTTTCTTTGACTTACGTAAAGCTTTTGATACATTTGCCATGATTTTGCTCCACGTAAATTGTCACACTATGGTATAAGAGGGCACTCCTCAACACCTCAAGTTTTCCTCAGCAAAAAGAACCCAAATAGTGTAGCAAATGGGGCAAACTCTTCTGCAAAACCCAAATTACAGTTGGTCCCCACGGGGAAGTGTCCGGGCCCTCTTCTCTTTCTCCTATACATAAATGCCCTTCCAAATGCTTCCAATTACTCAAACCCACACTATTTGCAGTGACACTACAACGCTTCTCTCACCCGACCCCAGTCACATGCCAAAAAGTAAATACCAATTAAGAAAATATCTACCTGGATGAGGCTAACAAACTTACAAAAAACTTTTGAAAAAACCCCATTCTTCATTTTTGGTAACAGGCTCAGAGTCCCTTTTAAACAAAAATGATAAACGGATCCCTATCACAAACAAAAGAGGGAAAATTCTTGGGAATCCACCTTGATAATAGACCAAATTTTTCAACACATTACATCAATTTCAAAGAAAATTTCCCAAAGACTGTAGGCCTCTATCGAAGATACGGTATATGTTCCCACGTCAGCCCTCCTGGCCCTATATCACTCTCTTTTACCTTTCTCACCTATGGATTGTGCATGGGGCTAAACAACTTTAACCATCTTCAGACCATAATTACCCAACAAAGGCTGCAGTTAGAATGATAACAAATTCTCACTCGCAGCCACTCCACCAATATTCATACACAAAACCCTATTTCACCATACAAAACATTCATATTTTTATGCACCTATTACATAATAAAACACTTAACCTGATATTAACCCCCCCCTCAAACATCCCCTTGCCAACCCAACAGAACACATGCCCAAAACAAAAGGCACGACATCTTTGTGTTCCTCGTGTCCATCTACACTATGCAAAAACTAAAATTTACATAAAAGGCCCTAAAATCTGGAAATTCTTTCCCGAAAATATAAAAGAAAACAACCTGTTTTTAAATTAAAGTCTCTTCCAAAAGTTACTTCTCCCCAAAACTAAATAAATATGAAAACGAACCTTATAAAAGTATATCTAAATTTTTCTAAAATTATTCCAAAAATGAAAAACCAAAAACCCCAATCTAACTTTATTTTTTTTTTAAATACACTACCTAACAGAATCACTACCTAACTAATAAAACCATATGACCGTCTTTGAAATACCCCTTGTGCTTTATATTTTCTGTTTACATTAATGTTTTATCACCGTGTCATTTGCTAGTAGCGCGTGTTAGCCCTTTTGTGGCTTAGCGCTTTTTTTTTGTTTTAAAATAATAATAAAAATAATCATTGCTTAGTTAATCTTAATTTAAATTTTTAACCCACCCCCAATGCTATGCATGTATAAGGGGTTTTGGGATACTGCCTTCCCGTTTTTTTTTTTGTACCTCTTTATTGTGCACAAATTGGAAATAAAAAAATAAATAAATAAATATAATGATACAAAAAATTTTAAAGCGCGAGGAATTGTTAAAATAGGTGGGGCATGAGTGTTCCAGCCCGGGAGGTGGGGACACTGAGTGTTCCAGCCGGAGGTGGGAATGGGTTCCACCTGGGGTGAGCATAGGGCCACCTGGAGGTGGGACACTGAGTGTTTCCAGCCTGGGGGTGAGGACACTGAGTGGGCCAGCCCGGAGGTGGGACATGAGTGTTCCCGCCTGGAGGGGGGGACATGAGTGGGCCACCCCGGAGGTGAGGACACTGAGTGTTCCAGGGAGGTGAGGGCACTGAATGGCCAGCTGGATGAGGGCACTGATGGTCCAGCCTGGAGGGGAGGACATGATGGTCCAGCCCGGAGGTGGGACCTGAGTGTTCCCGCCTGGAGGTGAGGACCTGAGTGGTCCCGCCCGGAGGTGAGGGCACTGAGTGGCCGCCCGGAGGTGAGGGCATGGTGTTCCAGCCTGGAGGTGAGGACACTGGTGGTCCAGCCCGGGGTGAGGGCACTGAGTGTTCCAGCTGGGGTGAGGACATTGGTCCAGCCTGGGGTGAGGACACTGAGTGTTTCCAGCCCGGAGGGGGACCTGAGGGGCCAGCTGGAGGTGGGACACTGAGGTTCCAGCCTGGAGGTGAGGACATGAGGGTCCAGCCTGGAGGTGAGGGCATGATGTTTCCGCCCGGAGGGGAGGACACTGAGTGGTCCAGCCTGGAGGAGGAATGAGGGTCCAGCCTGGAGGGGAGGACCTGAGTGGTCCAGCCGGAGGTGAGGACACGAGTGTTCCCGCCTGGAGGGGAGGCATGAGTGGTCCGCCTGGAGGTGAGGACACTGAGTGGTCCAGCCTGGGGGTAGGACACTGGTTTTTCCAGCCGGAGGTGAGGACACGAGTGGCCAGCCCGGGGGTGAGGAACGAGTGTTCCAGCCGGAGGTGAGGAATGAGTGTCCAGCCCGGGGTGAGGGCAGAGTGGTCCCGCCTGGAGGTGAGGACCTGAGTGTTCCCCGCCCGGAGGTGAGGACACTGAGTGGTCCCGCCTGGAGGGAGGAATGAGTGTTCCAGCCTTGATGTAGGACATGAGTGGTCCCCCTGGAAGTGGGACACTGAGTTTCCCCTGGAGAGAGGAACGACTTTCCGCCCGGGGTGAAGACCTGAGTGTTCCACCTGGGGGTGGGACACTTAGGTTCCCGCATGGGGGGAGGACATGAGTGTTCCGATGGGGGAGGCACTGGGTTCCCGCATGGGGGTGAAGACCTGATGTTCCACGTGGGGGTGGGACATGAGTGGTCCGCCTGGGGGTGAGGCCCTGAGTGTTCCAGCAGGGGTGAGGACTCTGATGTTCACCCGGGGGTGAAACTAATGTTTCAGCCCGGGGGTGGGACATGAGGTTCCAGGCTGGAGGTGAGGAATTAGTTTCCCGCATGGGGTGAGGACTCTGGTTCCAGCCAGGAGGTGAAGACACAAAGGTTCCGCCTAGAGGTGGGACGTTGAGTGTTACAGCCCGGAGGTGAGGACATGAGGGTCCAGCCTGGAGGGTTTGAGCACGTGTGGTCCAGTGGAAGTGAGGCATTGACGGCCTGCCTGGGGGTGAGGACACGATGGGGCCAGCCTTGAGGTGAGGACATGAGTGGTTAAAACCTTTAGGTGAGGACACTTGTGGGCCAGCCTGAAGGGAGGACCTGAGTGTTCCAACCCGAGGTGAGGACATGAGGGTCCAGCCCCGGAGGTGAGCACAGTAAGGGTCCAGCCTTCAGGTGAGGGCAATGAGTGGTCCGCCGGGGGGTGAGGACCGAGGGTCCAGCTTGGGGTGGGAACTGATGGTCTACCAGGAGGGGAGGGGCCCGATGGCCAGCCTGGAGGGAGGACACTGATGTTCGTATGGAGGGTGGACCCCTGATGGTCAAGCCGGAATGGGACACTGAGTGGTCCAGCCTGAAAGGTGAGGGGCACGAGTGATCCCTCCGGGGGAGAGTACACTGAGTGCTCCCGCCCCGGGGTGGGTTACCGAGTTTTTCCCGAATGGGAGTGAGGACACTGAGTGGTCCAGCCTTTGGGGGGTGAGGAATCGTGGTCCCGCCTGGGGGAGGACATGAGTGGGCCACGCTGGAGGTACGAAAAATGGTGTTACAGTTGGAGTGAGGACAGAGTGTTCCGCCCGGAGGTGGGACACTGTGTTTCCAGCCAAAAAAGAGGGGACATTGGTGGGCCCAACCCAGAGGTAAAAATACTGATGGTCCGCGTGAGGTAGGAACTGAGTGGGCCGCTGGGGTGAGGACACTGAGTATTCCCCCTTGTGTGAGGAACTGAGTGGTCAAGCCCGGGGAAATGAGGCACTGAGGGTCCAGCCTGTAGGTGAGGACGCTGATGATCAACCTGGAGGAGAGGACCTGAGTGCTCCAGCCAGGAGGTGGGCAATGAGTATTCCAGCCTGCATGAGGACACTGGTGGCCAGCCTGGTGGTGGGACATCATTGGGCCAGCGTGAGGGGGGACACTGAGTGGTCCAGTCTGGAGGAGGGGGCACTGAGTGGCCCGTTTGGGGTGAGGACACTGAATGTCCAGCCTGGAGGT